TTGCAGTTGTGCTGTATGGTTCCTTCTTAGAGTGAAGGAGCATGGAAAGGAATGGAATGGCCACTGGCATGGAGATTTCTATTAGAATGACATCATAGAATGGTAAGCTTGGTAAGTTGTTGAGTCTCCAGAAGCTTGTTGTCAAGTCTCCAGTTGGAGTGATGTTGCCTTTCGGAGGACCTGTTTCAAGAACTGTCCCAGGTCTTCAGAGGGGGATCCCAGACCCTTGGTAGTGATGATGTCCTCTGGAAATGTCAACACTGAGTCTTTGGGAAGTCTGAGTTGGGAGCATAGTCTGTAGGGTCAGAGGAAGGCAACATTTGGAAGGTGAAGACTGTCTTTGTCGTGATAGCGGCTGTGATGGTCAGGATGGTGTCAGCAGCTGGGAAAGCAGAGTCATTCAGAGTTGTCAAGGCTGGAGGCAGAGTTGGGGGCATTGAAGTCCATGGTTCCTACTATCAATACGTGGGTGGCTCACATGTGTAATATTGTAGTTGAACCGTGCTCCATTCCCAGGGGTAATACAGTTTGCTTGCTGGTGGAGGCACCCGATAAGTGTCACAGTCCCAAGATAGAGGTAATCTCATTGGTTGGCTGATGGAGGTATGGGAGGGAGTCAGGGAAATAGGCTCATAATATGGTTGAGCAGCCGGCAAGGTATTGACTGTTGGTGCCTCAAAGAAGTGGATTTGGGTGGACAGACGACTAGTGGGCTAGCTGAGGTATGGGGTAGTGTGTCCCAAATCTCCCCTTTGGAGAAGGAGTGGGACACCAATGACTCCGCTCATGTAAGTGGGCCTGAGAGTGGAACTAGCACTGGGACCTTTGGTGGAGTCAATGGTTTGGTATGTCACAGGGCCAATGGTTTGGTAAGTCCCTTAAAACAAGGGAACTTGGGCTGCTGGCAGGACAGGTGATTGGATGTGTACTGATGGAGCCAATGCTTGAGTGATGTTGGACATGTTTTAAGGGTTTTTGCTTGTCCATCTTAGTTGCCATCTTGTTTTTTTTCCACCAGTTTGTGAAAAAAAATTAATCCTTTTTTTCAACTTCTCCTCATCTTGAGAGTACTTGGTTAATTTTGGAGCAGATGGAATGCTGGTGGAGCTCTAGAAGACGGTGATGGCGTGCGAGAGGAGATGGAAGCCCAAGAAGTTAAAGGATGCTCACGAAGGTTGGAGGTGGCCGAGTCAACAACCATGAGCATGTGGCTCCACATCTCAATCTTCAGACCCCCTGCCCGATTTTTGCTGGGTAAAGACGTGGCACTGGGGGCAAGAGTCAACTCAGTGATTCTCACTTAGGCAAAATAGATAGAGTGAATGTCTGTCTGCATTTTAACACCACAGTGGACACATTTCCAAAAGGGAAGCATTTCCATCAGGGAGCAATAAGAAGAAAGGTAAGATGAAGAAAATGGTAATGATAGAAAGATTAGGGGGGAAAAAGGGTAACGTTCATAGGGAGAAAAAGCATGAAGAAAGAAGGGAGTTGAGTAAGAGATATTACTTCGTTATAAAGAGAATTAGGGATTGGAAATTTCTAGAAAGCTGAGGTAAAGCTGAGGTAAAGAGCAAGAGCTAACATGCCAGTACTCAAATGGCAGTCGGAAAAGAACTGCGGAAAATGGCGGGAGCCCCTCCTACTTATACTAGAGGGAGAGGAGGTGGGGCTCCCGCCAAAACTTTAGCTGAGCTGGGAAAATCTTCCTGACAACAGGCACTATGCAGGCACAGAGCCGATATGTGTGATGCACAGACACCACGATGAAGAACCACATGTACTTTCCACAATGGAAAAATGGTGGGATATAAACAACAACAATACCAATGTGAAAGGGCTTCTAGCAGCATGGCTTTGGACCAAAAGGTAGGCTATAACTTGTAAAAAATAATCAAATATTCATCTTCAGAAATAGGATAAATTTGTGTTGTCTTTTACTTAGTTTTTCCTCATAGGTTGCTATTTCAAACTTTCCAATCTGCATACACCTCCCCTAGAGGCAGATTGTACCACCCCAGTGAGGCTCATCTTACAGGCTTGAAAACTCAAGGAAGGATACTTTAAGCATTTGAGTTTTTTTAATCCCCCCATCTTTGAATTAAAATGTATTAGAACAGATTTTAGTAAATGCTTAAGGAAATCATTTGAAGATGCACCTAAAACCGAATGCTTAGTTTATGTGCTTTAGAAAATCCTCCCACAAGAAGCCAAAATCACCCACAGCAAGTTGCATTGTCCCCATCCTCCTACATTCAGTGGTGTCTGTAAAGCCCAAGCCGTAGATTCGCATTTCATAATTCAACTGCATGGCAAAGAACCAAATCTTACAGAAGAAAACATTACCAACTTGTCTTCATGACAGAACACTGAGTAGGTATAAAATTGCAATGGCCTCTATGCCAGGTTTTGTTTTTGTTTTTAAAAATCCTCCCTGCTTCTAAGATGAAAGCCTAATTTGATATTTTAGTAGTTATATAACAGTAATATTTTGTGACATTTTGTATTGTGACACTATAGATGAAATTGTCATCGGACTGACACCCTTTACTGTTTATTCCTTAATTACAACTGTTAACAACACTGCAGAGAAGCGTGCTAATCTGCCATCACATATTATGAAAACAACGTTATTGTTACAAACACCAACACCCACTCAACAGGATAGTTCTAAGATGGCAGTTTCTGTTAAAGAGAGAGAGAGAAAGCGAGAGAGAGAGAAAGCGAGAGAGAGAACGAACCTGATTAGTTTAATGGACACTCCTGCAGCAAAGGAAAAAGTTGACAGCAAACTTCTCAGTCTCCATTTTAGAATAGAAACATTTGTGAAGTAGCAACTTAGTAGGAATCCTATTAATATGTTTTAGAGTAATTGAAATTTACGTATCCAGGATAACAATAGCAAGCAGCACAGACTCCCTGAAATTTCTGAAAATAGGTTTACACATTTCACCCCTTCCGATCTTTTGGAAAAATATGGTTGCAGTGTGTCTGCTCCCTCTGCTGGACGCAAGTCGTGCTACTTGCCTCTTCGGAGCATCCGCTTCCACCTGCTGTTCTCATCACTCCTCCGGGGAGCTTTATAAGTTCAGCTGCTACAGTCCTACAATTACTTGGATGTTTTTCTCAGCCAGTGAATTAAAGATTGCCCACTTGACAAGAAGAAACTATCCACAAAACCACCAAGAGAAACAACAATGCTCTCCAAAAAAGTGAAAACTATCCTTGACTTCTCCCACCTCAACTCTACCCTTTATTTACTCTTGTGCAACACTGAGCCACATGCTGAGTATCCATTTTCATGGACAAGTAGGATACAAAGCAAGGAGATTGAGCCAGTTGACAGTTTATAACAAGTGTGGCATGATGGTTAGTGGGGTGCTTTGATTGGAGGAACCCCATTTCCAAATCTCCTTCCAGCTGCACAGTTGACTGGGTGACCCTGAACTAGACATTCTCCCTCTGCTTAATTCACAGGTGAGATAAAAGACTCCAATCAAAAATTATGTAATCGTTATTCCTGCAAGAAACAATTCATCTTCCTCATTTATGCGGTGAACAATTATACATTTTAATCCTCTGTTATGAAGGATACAATCATCTCAGGTACTCAGGAGGAGTGAATTAACTCTTTCGGATCTAAACAGAAGGGGGCATAAATGTATATGTATGTGTGTGTAGAATTACCACACTCTAACTGGGCTTGCATGACATAACAAGCAACCATTGATTGTTAACAATGGTTATCAATGGTTCTTTATCATGCTGCCTGTCCCCATGCTTGGAAACCATAAGAAAGAGCAGGTCTGGTCTGCTCTAGGGTTTCTCCCTCATGCCTGAGAGGCTCCTCTCAGGTGCAACTGACAAGCCCTTTCCCTGCGGCATTCCTGAAGATCAGGGAAGGGAGAAGGAAGCATACCCGCCTCATCTACCTCTCTTCCCTGTTCAAGAGAAAGTCACTCAGGCAGAAGTGGGATAATTAGCTGAGTGGCACCCCACCCCCTGCTCCAGAGCTTTCCTCTGAAACAGGAAATTAGGGTGCCTGATCAGCTCCCGCTTTCTTTGCTGTGCTTCAGGGAGCGAGCCCTGTTTGTACAGCACACTCTTTGACAGTTGCAGCAAGTGGGAATTGACTCCTGATTGCCACTGTGAAAGAGAGGAGCCCCATTCTAACTTGTGCTATGCCCTAGGAGGATACTAGGAAGAGTAAGAGAGAATGAAGTAGGGGAACGGAGCAAGGCAGCCAAAATTAAATGGATCATCTGTCAGGCTCATTGTGGCTGTTTGCCACTTAACAGCAACTCATGATACATCACCATGATGGGTAAGTGCCTTTATGTGTGAACCCACAGAGAGGATTACAAGCAGTATCTACCGCTTTCAAATGGAATGGACTTCACACAAATAGTGCATGACTGTATACATAGGTGTGTAACTATAACTCACATATACAGTGACTTCTTTTTTACACTGGAGATCTCACCTGCAGCCTGTTCAATCCTGACAAGGTACATAGTCTGATATGGGCTTCTGCTACTGTATGCAATGGAAGAGTCTTGGCACATTATTTATCCCAAGAATAAAACTGAATTCTCTTCGGCACTGAAAAAAAATTCTAAAATCCTATGACTAAATCCTTTATACCAACCAACTTGATTCAAACTGAATTATTGTAAGAGGGCAGATCAATGTGTCGCCACAGAACAAGTTTCCATAGATGAAATGCAACTCAGGAGGAGGAGAGATGGCAAATGCAGTGGTTCCCCACTTGTTGTTGTTGTTAGTCGTGAAGTCGTGTCCAACCCATCACGACCCCATGGACAACATTCCTCCAGGCCTTCCTGTCCTCCACCCTCCCCCGGTTCCCCACTACTGAAGCCTGAATCACCTGGGCTTTTATTGGGCTGCCAGCCACCCACTCACTGAATACAACCCACCAACATGTTGTGTACCACATTCCCTCTCTCGAGCAAATCCATACATGGAACAGACAACCAGACTGATATCTGCTTCCACTTTTATTGGGAAAAGTAACTTCTCTTCTGTAAAATGGATGACAGCTGAGTTTCCACCCTTCAGTGTATCATCCATGTTCAGAATGAAAGCCATATAGATAATGGTGTTTTGGGAAAATTCTTCAGTACAGTTTTGGAATGATTGGTGCTCATCCCACTAACATTTAGAAGAGCCATTTGATGGTCCAGCATTTGGAGGCTTGAGCAGGTCTTCCCCATGAACCTTACTTGATTGTCATTTCCTGCTTATTTGAAAATTGATCCTTTTGAGAGACTTGTGTACTGCTTTGTTTGCTTGATTTTTTTAACGCCAACAGGGGCCTGTATTCTTCCTAAAAAAAATGGCTCCCACTTGGGGATGGATTCTTCTACTTTTGCCCAATAACGAGTCTGGAAAAGAGAGAACACAATAAGCAATTTAACTCTCCTTCACAACATAATATACTATTTACCAGCCCATCAACAAAACAATCTGAGAATACAATGTGTTATTAATTCTTGTTTTATGTGTGAAGTAATTTAGAAAAGGCCAAACTACTTTGGTGCTAAATCTCAAATCCCTCAATTATACAATATAATGGAGACTGGAACAATTTCAATGCCTAAGTAAATTTGCAATAATTGGATGTGCCCTCTTGTGGCGAGTCTTGTATTAGAATGGTAATCCTTGAACTTCATAAACGTTTCCTTGTATTAAACAGGAGTTATGTTTCTGTGAACTACAACATTATCCCAAAATTATTAAAATTAAAATCCCTGTCCAAAACGATGTTAATTATTTGGGGGCTAAAGGTGCTTTGGCATTTACAGAAGTGCAATAATAGATCATATTGATTTAAAGGATTTGGAAGTTGCTTGAAAATCAATTTTGCAAGGGATATAGCCACAACATCAAACAAGGCAATGGAATTATGTCCCAGAAAAAACTCAGAAACCTTTTCAGAGGTCCACAAATTCTGGCTGGCTTTGGAAGCCTTTAGGTTCGAAAGTTTTCCCCTGCCACCCTGCCCACAAGGCTCTAGAAGCAAGTCAGTCACCCTGTCCAGTAAGTCCAGTTCCCCCATATATTCCCCCAAATAACTTGTTGCCTCCCCTTCCTTATCTACAAAGAGTAGTAAGCCTCTCCTATGTATCTCTTTGGCTATATAACTGGAAGCAAGCTTGTGAGATAAATAATCCTGACCAGAGAACCACCCAGATCAAAACACAGTCATGAACTAAAATCCTTTACTGATATATATTCTGATGACAACTAAAGTAGTCGTTTTATACAGAATACCAAAAATGGGTCTGATCTCCCAGCCTACCCTAGCCTTCCCTCTTTGAACAGCTACCCTAACCACCAAGCTTTACCTTCTCTTTTCTCTCTCCTCACTGTAACTCTAAATTTTCTCTTCTCACTCCTTTCTCAACTGTCATTCACTCTGACTCCACCCACCAATCCCTCACACTGCCCTGCTGCCATCATGTCTCCAATCATTCTTCCGTTAACAGAAGCTAGCCACAATGCATATTCAGCAGGTGCCTGACACTCCCTCAGATGTCAGTTGCAGCGTTTGAAGAGTGGAGAGTGCCTCCAAAGGGTAGGGCCAAGTATAATCCCCCTCTTTATTTCCCAGCTTCAAGTTCAGGAGGAAGTCTAGAGTCTGTCCATGTACTTTTCTGCTTCCCTCCAAAATGTGGTATGACACGGAAGAATCTCAGGCTTCCTTGGAAGCTAGGAGGAACGGAAGGGGAAAGAGGGTTGTTGCCCACAGTCATGAATGTATGCTAAGCGCCTTCAAACAATTCTTTATTACTCTTTTTTCACATCGCTGGGAAAAGTCTTTATGAATCAAGTGAGCTGAAAAAAGGGTGTTGAACCTCTCTTTCAAAGACGTTCAAATTCCAAAATCTGAATATAAAAACATAGAACTAAAGCAGCATCAGATATACCATACTTACTGCATTGTTGGATTGCTGTGGCTGATAGCAGATGAAAATAAAAATCTACTCTGATCTATTTTTTCCCAAACAAAGGGTCTTAAGAAAATCTGAAGCTGCAGCAGAACACTAATATTGTTTTTTTCAATTTTTTTTGAATAAGACAGCTTATGTGAAGTTAATGTGAATAAGAGAACTTAAATGTTTAAGTTAAACACAATCACAAGCTGGGAGTCTGCCTTACCAAGACTACCAGGATTACCAAGTTACCTCAAGATTAACAATATCAGGATGCAGAAGTAAGTGATCTCTTGATTGTAGCTTTTTCCATGCTGCGTCTACATCCTACAACACAAGAGCACCTTTTCAAAATGGTGATGCTCTCAGAATCCACATGCATGAAATTAAAAATTGTTTTTAGCAACAACAAATGTCAAAACATTTCTTTACCCATGCATACTGATATTAAATCACAAGTGACATCATACTGCACATGGTGCATTGTAGCTTAGGTGAACAAAGATGATGCATACAATTTAAAGCATGGGTGTTGAACCTCTGGTTCAAGGCTCAACTCCGGCCCTCTGGGGTTCATCACATCTCCATTTCACCAGCGGGCTTCCCATACCACCACCTAGCTTGTAGTATTTTCCTGGCTTCTGCACAATTTCTTCCCCATTCTAAAAAATTGCCATACCTCTCATAAAGCATTTCAGCCAGAAGTTAAATCAGAAATGTGGATACACAAGTGAAAAACATGCAAAATAAGGGCAACAAAATATAAGCAGATGCCATTATACATACTTAGAAATCTCTTTGTGCTATTTTGTGTGCAGTGGTGGTAGGGGGAGGTGGCTGAAATTATTTATTTATTTAAAAATTTGTATCCCACACTTTACAGTGTCTCTGGGCAGCTATGGACTTTCTTGAAAAAAGTAGGTTTTGAGGGGAGAAGTGCTCAAAACCCAAAGTAATGGGCACAACGCAACTCAACCAGTATGAATAATCGTCCCAATAATCGAGCTGAATACAGTTTTGGTCTAATCGGCAACTGATTTGCCCACACAGTAAGGTTGTTTGTTTGCAGCTGTTTTGCATTATCAGCTGTTTCACATATCTAATCAAAGCTGTTCAAGCAACAAGAGGATTGCACAAGGAAATGGTATGCAAATGACTGAGCAAAGAAAAGGAAAAATCAACAGATTCAACCAATAAACTACAGATTTATTGGATTTGATGCCTCTGCTGATTCAGTGAATAAGTGTTAAAAACGGGCATTGGTCCAGTGCGATGTCACCATTCCAAAACCCAGGTTGCTGTAATACCTTTATCAGGCCAACCAATGCAAGTATTACAGCAGCATGCCAGCTCAGCCATCTTTGCTTTTTTGTTGTTGTAATGCCAACATCGCTTTTACCTTGCCAGTGATGGCAAATCTACTCATTCTTTTTCCCTCCCCATGTATATTTATTATTTTCTCTATACACAAACAACTTAGGATAATTAACTGTTTCTAAAACTTAAGATGAACAGGCATGATCCTTCACCACTAACTGCTTGTCAGACAAGACAGTTTTAATGTTTAGAATTGGAGTATGAGCTTCCTTGGCACCTTCCACCATTTATTGGTTCTTATGGTCAAATATCCTGCTTCCTTTGTCTCTGACCAGTGTACTTAACCACAGATATGCAACAGAAGCTCTTTCCAAAGTCCCATGACTTTGTGCAAACTGTACCTAAAATCTGGTTAGAAAGTGCCTCACTTCTGGATCCCATCAAGTTTTGATGTTCCTCACATATTTTTCATTGTACGATGTATCCAATGTTAGTCCTACTTAAAATACACCTATTGAAATGAATGGGATTTCAGTTAGACCAACAATGGATACAATCCATATGTACGATACAAGTGAAAACATTTATCATATAGGTATTTATCATACATCCTGGGGAAGGGGGGCATGTACCATGGAATATGTGAAATGGCCCTTACTCTGAATTTTCATGACAACAGAAGCCCAAATCTAAGAGAAAATAATTAAACATTGCAGCAATACATGTGAAAGAGATCTTGGAACTGTCATTGGTCACAGCTGAACATGAGTTGGATGTAATACAGCTGCAAAAAGACTAATGCCACTTCAGATTGCATTAGTGAATCCACAGTTCCCAAGATATGGGAACAGTTCCACTTTATTCAGCATAAGTTCAACCTGACCTGGGGTAGTGTGTTCACTTTATCACCACACTTTAAGGAGGATGTAGTCAAATTAGAATGTATTTAGAGGAAGGCAACTAAGATGGTCAGTGGTATGAAAAACAATTTCAATGACTATAGAAAAGTCTGAAGGAACTGGGTAAGTTCAGCCTGAAGAACAGAAGACTATGTGGTTTCAATCACTTTTTAAATACCTGAAAGGTGGTCACATCGAAGACGTAAATATTTTTCCCTCTGCTGACCCAGAGTGCAAGATGAGATCTAGTAAGATTAAGCTGCAGGGTATCAGGAGCACTGAGAGAAAGACTGCAAAATCATGTGACCCATGGAAGCAATTACCTGGCTGTGGGGGGTGCCTTTCCCTTACTAGCAGATGGAGGGCAGCTATCTGCTCGGGATGTTCTAATTCTGACTTTCCTGCAACACGCAGGGTGTTGGACTAGATGGCCCATGAGGAATCCCTCTAACTCTAGACCTATGATGTTTCACTACTTCCCTCAAAATCTGTGAATCACATGGAAGTGGGTATCATTCACTTTACAAGAGTGGCAGCAATTTTGGGAGGTCTGAATAGAACAGTCTGCAGGACAGCTCCCCCACAAGCAATATTTTAAAAGGCAAAACAAAACTGGCTTGTTTGCCAGCAAAATTTGTCAGCAAACCTCCATAGTATTATAAAGACTAAATTTGCCTCTTTCAAGCTAAATGTAACCTTTCTTGTGCCAAGCTAAATTAACTGTTTTGGTACTCCACAGTTAATATGGATGACTTGGTTTGGGGGTGTGGCTGGAGGGCCGTAATGCTTATTTAAAAAAATAAATAAATTGCAGGGCACAGTGGAATATGGCAAGGGCTGCACTGGGAGGATACATGCTGCCCATTCCTGTATGATAAGATAAAATCTCCAGGGAAAGAACTTCTAAAATAAGATGAATATGATGGAAATTTTTAACGATCCACTGTAACCTGACAACAGTCTTCAGAATAGGAGAGTTGGCTGTATTACTGAGGTATGTTTTATCAAGAGCTCTGACCACACAATTTGACCTTTATGTACTGGCAGTGATTTACAGTTAAGATGAGTCACTATTAGGAAAAAAAGCATTTGCTGTGCACATGAGAGGAAGCCAATAATCTTTTGCAAAGAAAGCTACAAATAACAAAGCTACAAAGAAAGACAGTAAATTTGTTGAAACTCTTCCCTGCTCAAGACAAAGATGACTTGCTAATATGCATTCATAACATGTGCACAAAGATGTAGAAAGGCAGCAAGCTGTTCACCAGACATTCAAACTCCAGTGAAAACTCACCTCTATTAGCTTTTCTTAGGAAATTTGCACATGGGCTTCTACTTCCATGTGCTGGGTTTGTAAAGAACAAGACTCAATTTGAGGGGGAGGAGATGCACCTCCTTAAAGCTGCAACACCCCCCTCATTTTTGTGGGCTTTCATATACAAACATTAAAGAGATCAAGCGCAGGCCTTTTGGGCAAATTAAGAGAGATGGGAAGGGGCGTGGGAGTGGGGTGTGAAGAAGCCAATGCTGAACAGAAATGGAAGAAGAGAGTATAGCAGATGGCATCATCGGGAGCAGAAAGTGAGTGTGGAGAGTAAAGCATTTTTCAGATTTAAGGTTTGCTGTTGGTTTTTTTTTAAAGGAGGAAAATCCCCAAAGGGACTTCCCATCATTCCCAAATCATGGCAGCTCAAAAGAACTGGGATCCCGGTGCAACAGAACCCCAAAAAATGAAGTTCCAAATGGGCAGGGTAACTACTTGAAATACAGGCAGTCCCCAAGTTATGAACATCCAAGTCATGAGCAACTTATGAATGACCTGCCATAAAGCCTATTAATTTTTTAAAAAATATTGTGAAAATTGTCATCAGCATAGAGAGAGAGGAAGCGAAAGAGAAGAGAGGGAGGCCTCCAAAGTATGGCTTCCTGCCCCACACATCCAGAGAGGGAAATCTCTCTGGCATTTCCTTGCGGCCAAGAGGAGGTACTGGTGCGTTTAGGAGGTGGGAGAGCCTAGAGTTATTCATGGTTTTTATGGGGTCCTGCACCCCTAGCCCCTGCAAATGTGGAGGGTTACCTATATGTGATTTGACTTACATAATAATTCAACTTAAAGGCAAATGTTCATTTTCTCAGGAATGGAACTCGTTTGCAAACCAAGGACAGTCTATATCTCAAAAAGCAGAGTAGTCACTTGAAATATCATGAACAAGGACTGAGGGTTCTAGACTAAATTTCATGCAGATGGCAATGAAAAGAAGTGACCATCTGAATGATTTTTAACATGCTGAGCTGAGTCAGGGAAAGCAACCTTTCCTCCTACCCACACAACTGCACTTATAGCAGTGGAAGACCTCTTGATCTCTCTAAGGAAGGGTAGTTCTCAATGTCAGACTAACAGCTCCAGAAATTAAATGACAGAGCAGATGCACCATAAAATGTATCCTTGCAACACCTACTCTGGCCCAAAGCAATCCACTGTCATGATAACAAGACCTCAGATTCCAATCAAAGCAAGTTTTCTAGGATGCTGTACAGCAGATTGTTATAATCTCATTGCCATGTTTCTGTTCCTCAGCATTGTTTTGGGGACATTTCCACAGGATTACATGATCCAATCCAAGATCAACTTGGTGGCTTTTTTCTTCTTAAAATATGTTTATGATGGTAGGTACAGTTCTTTGGGGCAAAAGGAAATATTACTGGGCTGTGTTGGTTTTAGTTGAGAAGGGCACTGTGGCACAGTCCACATACCAGATGTGTCTTTTTGCTGCTCCTATCCAGTTGCAGCATATTTCGAAGTCTATTGTCATCCAGAATGCTGTTTTAATGACAGGCTCTGACAGAAATTGTTTCTGGAAGCTGAAATATGCCTTGAAGGGTGGGGGGGAAGTGATGGCATTGAAATATTAGATGGCACCTTTGCAGGCTGCTGATAGCTAGAGGCTGCCATGTCTTCTTTTGTGTGTGTCTTTTCTTCCCTTTAAGGTTTACTGACAGGGTTTGCTTTTGGCGATGATTTTCAATATTTTAAAAGTCACCAGTGAAGACACCTTTGGCATATTAAGTGTATTAAAAATACTGTGATTTCAAATCCTGGCTTTATCAAAC